TCCTATCAGCAAAAATGTTGAAACAACTACAAGCTAGTTATTTTGTTTCTGAATTTATTAATATGATACAAAAAGTTTTAATTTACTAAGAGCTACCATGATTTTGTTTTATGGAAATAATTGTTTTACTTCCATATTAGTGCAAAAAAATTAAATGATGAGTGGATTTATATGTGTGAGAATATGTGCTTTTCAAGTTCACTATATAGATACTACAAATTTGTAAATAATCCCAAATCTGACAATATGAATCAGAGTAATTATGGATTCATTATTAAACTAAAGCCACACCCAGCCAAATTTTCTACCCACTTTGCCATCCTCTACTGTAAGGAAATGTAAGCGTATATGTAGAAAAAGAAAGAAAACTATATACCTGGACATTTCATTGAACTTTTTAGATATTATAAAGTTCTCGGGTTGTAGAAAACTTAGTTATCTGAATACAACTGGGCTGCTATCAGTTAAAATGTATAAAATGTCTTCAAGTATATTACCTCATTCACTCTATTCTTTGTAAAATGTAAACTTTGAGGTAATATTTGTCTTATCACTGTATAACCAAAATAAGTACAAATATGCACAAATACATTCAAATATTATGTAACAAATAAATATGCTAAATGAATAACACCCTAAAAGATGAAAATAGTAGTTTTGGGGTTTTTTTTAATAAAAAAAAAAGCCAGCAAGGCAGGAAGGCAAGAAAGCAAGAAGTCAGGATGGGAAAGAGGGAAGAAGGGAGAAAGGAATGAAGGAAGGAGAGAAGGAGGGAGAGATAGAGAAGGAGAAAAGGAGAAATGGAAGGGAAGGAAGAAGGGAAGAAGGAGGAAAAGAAGGATAGAGAAGGTTAGAATAACAGAATTGCAGATCAAAATGACGGTAATCACAGTTTGAGTACTACATTTCCTGGTTCCTAATTTTTTAGACAATATCTAGAATGAAAAAAGAGGGAAAAACGAAATGAGGGCAGAGGAAAAAGAAGAGAAAAAGAAAGGAAGAGATGGTAGGAAGTGCTATTCCGCCTTCAACACCACAACTGCTGCCTTTCATTTGCTGGAGTTTGAAAGATCTTACTGTTGTAAAGCAAAAAAAAGAAAAATACTATTTTTACAGTTTTTAATCTTAATTTTGAAAAAAATCAATTGGTAGTTAGGAACCAATAAAATATTGTGCTTTGAGCTATCTAGTTTGTAAGCGCATCATATGTTTCTTTAAAAAGGAAAATGATTATTTTTCATGGCACCATTATTGAAATGATAACATACGCAATCTCTCAGCTTCTGTTTCTTCCTCTTTTAAGTCTTTCAACCATCTGGAAAGGTTTGGTGCTTCACTTCCTCTTCCTATTAGACTAAGTTTACAACCCTTGAACTTTCTCCTCCATCTCAAGTGGCCTTTTTTGCCTTACCCATTTTGTAGTTATAATGATAAAATATTCAGAAAATGAATTAGAGGGTTAAAACCCCCACTGTATATTATATATTAGCCCCATTATATTTGGACGCAAAAATCACTTGGAGAAAAAAATCATATTATCATCTCTTCTTAAAGACTCTGGTAACTAGATTGGATCCACTCGGATAATACCACAAAAATCTTCTTACTTCCTGGATCTCAAATCTAATCCTGTCTTGCAGAATCAGTTTTGCTGTGTGAAAGGACATTTGTTCAAATTGAAAGAATTATGGTATGGACATCATGAGAAGCCACTCTTCTGATTACCACAGAAAAATAACTGCTTCAATTCAGAATTATTTAAAATAAAGATTTAATTTCCCAACAGCCATTATTTCTATTTACATCAAGAACTTAAAGCATGAGTCACATGCCTAGTTTTGTTAATGATTCTTAATCATTAATTTTAAGCTAATTTTACAAATTGCACGTGTCCCATCTGATTAACAATTTGAAAACTATGTAGTCAACTTGGGCCCCTCAATGGATGAATGGATGGAGAAAATGTGGCATATATACACAATGGAATTCTACTTCCATTAGAAAGAATGATATGATACCATTAGTAAGAAAATGGAAAGAATTGGAAAAAAAATTATATTAAGTGAAGTAAGCCAGATCCAAAGAAACAGGTTGCATGGTTTCCCTCATTTGTTGTAACTAGAATGTGCCTATAAATCTACAAGTAAACATGTTGGATGGTTTTTAAAAATGCACTAGGATGTGATAAATTATACCAGACTCTAGATATTTACACAGTGAAACCAAAGGAGGGAACTCCAAGAAATAGAAACAAGAGGTTTTTGTTCCTTTTTTTGTTTTCTGTACTTCTTGTCTTGTATGTAAATGTATCTGTTTGGGGGAGGGTAAGGGAGAGCACAGAAATGGTGGGACAAGGTGTGAACAAATGCAGTAGTGATATTCACTAAGCACTATGTTGAAGATGAATTATACAACTTGTTGAGACGAGAAAAGAAAAACTGGGAGAAAGCAAGGGAAGAGGGACATTGTCCAAAAAGACATGTACTCATTACCTTATTTATGTAACCATAACCCCTCTGTATATCACCTTTATAATACCAATTAAAAACAAAAAAAGAAAGTCACCAAAAAAGTGCAAACAACAGGCACCTCTTAAAGGGGTATGTTTCTAGAAGTTTGAAGAGCAGTATTGGTAAAGCTATGGTAGAAGTTTGCTTTAACTGTTTTTTTTTTCTGTTTTGGTTTTCCCTTGATTTTTATTTAACTAATCCAATTTCTGACTAGGACTCAAATTCTTATGAGATCAAAACGAAGAGCCAGCCAGATGTTGGTGGCTCACACCTGTAATCCTAGTTATTCACGAGCATGAACTATAAGGATTGTAGTTCAACATCAACCCTAGCTGTAAAGTCTGTGAGATTCTTAACTCCAATTAGCCACCAAAAAGCCAGAAGTGGAGTAATGGTTCAAGTGGTAGAGCATTAGCTTTGAGCAGAAAAACTAAGGGACAGCATTCAAGGCCTGAGTTCAAACTTCAATATAAACACAATTAAAGAAAATAAATTTAAAAAGAGCCTATTTAAATGAAGGGTTAATGTAAGCCAACAAATAAAGGAAGGCTACATTATATAAAAAGTACTATATAGATCACTTACTCCTAAACATTTCAGGTAAGCACTATAGCAAGTGCCATGGCTATTTTTATCATGTCTGCATGCACAACACTCAGCACAGCAGGTGGCAGGTAGGTGTGCTTCAGATCAATAATTTTTTGAATAAATTAAGCAATGCTTATATATTGTACATGTATAGTCTGGAAATAAGAGTCCTTTATATTTCCATTTTTCTCTATGGTCTTCAGAACCTTTGAATAATTCTACCCAATCAAGCAGTTAGGCTCATAGACCTGGGTTTTCCTATGTTCTATTTAAATTTGAATGCTGACTTCTTTTTTTGTTAAAACTCTTTTTTTTATTGTTACACCTTCCTTTATTTTCCCCCTACCATCCCTTTCCTCTCCAACTCCTCTCACCCTCACCCCCAATGCAACGTTGTGAAGTTCATTTTCAACATACTATCTTGTACATCTCATTGTTACAATGGGTCATCCTGTATCCTCATTTCAGCATTTCATTATTTCCCTTCCCCTCCCCATATTAGAAAAATGTATATACAAGATGCAGGGCACCGGAATCAAATACAGTGACAACAGGGGTTGTACCATGGGGGAAGAACATACAAAGAAACAAAAAAAAATCACATAATACATTATAAGTACATTTAAAAGAATAGCAACAAAGATAAAACCTTTTATGTCCCTATCTTGGGGTTCATTTGGTTTAGCATGAGGTTATATGGTCATATGTACACAGCTTTTGACCTTTTCTGCTTGTCCTAAACATATACTCATTATTGCAGATAAGGGAAACTATGGGACCTAGGTTTCTTTGAGACTGGTTTACTTCACTTAACATAATTTTTTCCAACTCTTTCCATTTCCTTTCCATTCATCTACTAAGTGGCATCTGGGTTGGTTACATATCTTAGCTATGGTGAATAATACTGCCATAAACATAGTTGTGCTGGTAGCTTTAGTATGGCCTTGTTTGTGAGCATTTGGGTTAAATGCCCAAAAGTGAGATGCTGGGTCATAGGGGAGCTCTATGAGGAATTTTTTGAGGAACCTCAATACTGCTTTCCAAAGTGGTTGAACAAGTTTACATTCCCACCAACAATGCAGTAGAATTCCCTTTTGGCCACATCCCCTCCAACATCTGTTGTTATTAGATTTCTTGATGATAGCCATTCTAACAGTGAGGTAGAATGGAAGAAAGTCAGCCTCTTCAGTAAATGGTGCTGGAAAAATTGGTTAACCACCTGTAGAAAACTAATGCTAGATCCCCATATATCACCCTGCACCTGAATCAACTCTAAATGGATCAAATGAATCAAAGACCTTGAAGTCAAAGCAGACACCCTGAAAACATTACAGGAAGGAATAGGAGAAACTCTAGGGCTCCTTGGCACAGGCTGAAATTTTCTTTAAAAAGACCCAGAAACACAACAAATGGGACAAATGGGATTGCATGAAACTGCAGAGCTTCTGCCTGGCAAAGGACATAGCTAGCAAGATCAATAGAAAGTCCACAGATTGGGAGAAGATCTTCACTAACCATACAACGAACAAGGGCCTCATATCTAAAATACACTTAAAACTCAAAAAATTAAATCCCCCAACAACAAATCCTCAAAGAAACAACCGCCCAATTAATATGGGGGCTAAAGACTTAGAGACTTCTCTGAAGAGGAAATAAGAATGGGCTATAGGCACATGAAGAAATGCTCAACTTCTCTAGCCATAAAAGAAATGCAAATAAAAAACATTGAATGCTGACTTCTTTAAGCTTTAATTTTCTCCACAAATGTCAAAAGTCTAAGAATGGCAACTAGAGAATGGTAACTATTTCAACTCCTGAAAAACTACTTGAAGCAGAAAAAATAAAACTAATGACAAATAACTTGGACTTTAGCTTTAAAATGTTCTTCTTGGTTTGTTTCAGGAAAGTAGTAGATCATCCAAAAAAGCGATTTGGTATCCCCATGGATCGGATTGGTAGAAACCGGCTCTCAAATTCCAGAGGCTGAGTCCAATTGTGAGTACAATTTGAATTAGTAACAATATCTTATTCGATTTTACATTTTACAATAGACTAGTTGATAGAAATTTACTTATAAATCTCTTTTTTGGCTTATTATCTTACATTTCACCTTTTCAAACATTTCTCTATTCAATTGGTATACTGATACTAAGAAGCTTTTAGAGCTGGAAAGGTTGCTCAGTGGTAGAATGCCTGCCTTAATGCATGAGGCCCTGAGTTCGATTCCTCAGCACCATATGAGCAGAAAAAGCTGGAAATGGCACTGTGGCTCAAGTGGTAGAGTGCTAACCTTGAGCTGCAGAGCTGAGGGACAGCTCCCCACAGAGCTCAGACCCCACAACAAAAAAATTTTTTAAAAAAAGAAACTTTTAGAAAGCAAAGTTCATCTTATCCTTTAAAAAATTCACATTAACATTTCATTCCAAAAATCAAAACTCAGATTTAGTTAGTTGGGACAGACTATGTAATTATTGACCATTATATGCAAGTCAGAGTTGAAATGACAACACAATAAATTTTCTTCATAAATATACATGAATGTAGACCAATCCCTTTGGTATTTCCTCTCAACACCTTTCATTCCCAGTAGTTACAACACACTGGAACTGCCTTAATATTCTCATGCTATAGAAAAGATAACTCTCCTCTCTGCTTCTCTCATGATGACCTCCAGACCTTAATACAGAGACTCGAAAAGCATCATATTAGCCTGATCCTCTCATAATTGAAATAATTCAAGTTTTTCTTTCTCCTCAAATGCATTAAAGCCATAAAGAAATGCCAATGTTTTGTCATAATACAGGGATTTGTTCATTAATGATATTCTACCATTTTCAAATGACAGTAAATACAGGAGAATTGAATTCTGTGAAGAATCTACCATTAGAAGAGTATCATCTGAAAAAATCAGATTAAGCTATTTTTCTTTCCTTTCAAGAAATATAGTAAGTGTAAGTAACTATTTGAGATTGTTAAAGCATTGCCATTTAAGTGGGAATTAGCTAATTACAACTATAACCTGTTGAAATCAGGGCCACATCTTCCAGTTTATTGACATTTTAACACTATAACTCCGCAATATATGGAGTAAGTTTGAGTCAGGTGCCAGTAATCCTAGCTACTCAGGATACTGAGATCTGAAAATCTCGGTTCAAAGCCAGCATAGACAGGAAAGTCCAAGAGCCTCGTCTCCAATGAAGCACAAAAAAAGCCAGAAGTAGAGATGTAACTCAAGTGGTAGAATGCTAGCCTTGAGCAACAAAAGCTTAGCAACAATGCCCTAGTCCTGAGTTCAAGCCCAGGACTAGCACAAAAATTAGTAAATGAATAAGTTTATAAATATAATTATATATATATATATGTATACTTTTACCATGCTTAACCTTCTTTAACATTTCTGAACTCAAACAAGACAAGCTTGATAAACAAATTACAAAGGAAATTCATTTTTACATGAATACTCATGATTTCTGTTCTTAGATCCTAAAATCCACGGAAATCTATTAAACTATGAAAAAATATTCATAATAATTCTGTATGGAGTCTAAGATAAGCATGGTGTTCCTAGCTTAACAGACTTGATTGATTCTCTTGACAATTACTGTCTACAGTATTCAAACCTAAAGACAGTACTATCGTTGAAAAGTAAGTTTAGAAAAGAATCTGGTAAGGGGAAACAAAGGAGGAGGCAACAATGCTTCATAAGAAATGTACTCATTACTTTGCTCATGTAATTGTAACCCCTCTGTAGGGTATTTTCACAATAAAAAAAGAAAAAAGAAAAGAATCTAACATTATAAACATTCTTTCTCTTTTGTCAATTATTGTGCATTCAGCATCTCAACCAATATGCTTCTACTCATTATTATCACAATTTCACCAAGACTTATTTGAGTTTTTTTTATTTCTTGTGAAATTTTTCTTTTTACATAAATAACAAACCCCACAAAACAATATTCTTTTGATTGCTATTCAAATTTTCAAAATTTTTGTACTGTATTCTTTCCTACTATCACAGTACCCTTGGAATCAAACATGGATGCATGAAGTGGGGTGTGGTTCAAGGGGTACAGTACTACCTTTGAGCAAAATCTAAGGGATAGTACCCAGGCCATAAGTTCAAGCCTAACAGTATGGAAACACACACACACACACACAAAATATGAATGCAATATGTGTCCTACTAGACAAAATTTGAGATGTTTAATAATGTCTATGCCTTTCATTGTTAAGTATTTAGAAATTTAATTATCAAAAACATATTTAATTCAATCCCAATTTCTTTTCTAAAACTATCTCTAAGTAATTGTACAAGGAAGAAATCATTTAAGAGAGCAGTGAACGAATAGAATGCATCTTGTTCTGTCTCCCCCTTCAAAAATCTCATCCCCCATCGACCCACCCTTTGCTTTACATTTCCTCATTTTGTAGTATATAACATGAATTCTCATCCTTCCCCTCATCCTCACTTCATTGTCTCTTCCCACTTTGCCGTGCTCCCTGTAAATACCCATTTCTTGATGCTTATTTTGTTGGGCTTTGACTTTGTCTGTCTAAAATAATTGTACTATTTGTGCTTTCCATAGTGTTTATTATAGTTCAGCTAACTCATTTGGAACTGCTTGCATACCACCAAGCATGTTTGCTTACAGAATTTTAGGCACATTGTGTCTTCCACTAATGAGAAAAATCATGCAACCTTTGTTTCTCTGGGTCTGACTCCAATTCACTTAATATAATTCTTTCCTTCTTCTTACACATGGTACAATACTATTCTTTCTAATGGATGAGTAAAATTATAATATATATGTATATATATATATTTTTATATATATATATATATATATATATATATACTACATTTTCTTAATCCATCCATCAAGAGTTATCTGGGCTGTTCTCATATTTTGGTTTCCATGAACATGAAAATTCAGAAAACAAGTGCTATGAGAGAAAATGTATTTACCCAAATTTTATAAATTTTCAGCCAATTGAAGCAGATCCTAGGTGGCCAGGGCCTTTAAGCTTCTACACCAATATCCTCTTCATAACCTATCATAACCTGTCAGGTGCTATTGCTAAATTGCCCTTGTGGTGTACTAACATCCCTGATCATACACTTCTGAGACAAATAGAAATAGAATTCTGGAAATCTTTGTACTACTTCTGTGAATGTCAAAATATTGTCTATTTCATCATGTTCAGTTGTAAGTTTTCACCTTCTGGATTTTATTTTGAGACTTCTCACTCAAAGTGAAACTAGTACCTCACCATAGATGTATGGTTTGGTTTGAGGTCAAACCTAGGTACAGCTGCTGTGTGCTAGCTAGTTTCCAAACTCATTGTCAGTCTCTTCTCCTTAGAAAGGATGATAACACGACATTTATATGCTCTCCTTTCCAAATCATTAATATTGTACAAATGTTTTGAGATTTTAATTGGCCTTTTCTCTCATGAACTCAGACTCAAAGAGATAGATTGTGGAGAGTGTCACAGCTTCCCTTAAAGCAATTAGTAATTTCTCTGTCTCTACCATTGAAATCAGGATATTATTGATAAAATTTGAAAACTGAACTCTAAAGATATTCTTCTTATGGCAATGTATATGAAGACTATTCATTTAGTAATATGGGGCATATATTACCTGTTCTATCCATTTAATATTTTTCCTTAAGGAAATGTTGACACTATCATTCATAGGAATTAATATGATGGAAATGCATCAGGAATAGCACATGTAAACAGCAGTGTGTGGCTGGATCCTTTTAACATGAGAAAACTATAAAACAATTATCAACAGAAAGTAACATACAACTTTTCTTTACCATTCTTCTTTTAGACATGGAAATGGCCTTGAACCAATAAAAAACATTTTACAATAGATAGGAGAAGAAAGGAGAAAGACGTGTCATAATTTTTGTTTATATTTGAGCATAAACACTTAGCTTAATACTAGTTTTAAGTATTAAGTATTTAAGTATGTTAATAAACAAAAATACTTGTTTTAATTTATCTTGATATGAAATTATCATTTTACATTATTATCTTCAAAAGGAAAGTAGGTCATATAAATGAAAACCCTAATGTGCCAACATGTAATTTGAAGCTTAAGTCTTTTCTACTAAAATTGAGGGCTTTTCACTTGACTCTAGAGGTCTTAATTACTTTTAATCATTTCAACCTTTGATTTTGCAGGTGCAACTTCCTTGTCTGAAATTACACAGAAATATGGAAGATGCTTCATGAAGTCTTTTAACACTCCTTAATGATTAAACTTTTAAGGAACTGACCATCTGCCAAACATAATAATGAAGAAAATGCATCAGATGAAAACCCAAAACTCTTGAACTTAAATAATTGACCTTCATTAAAAAATCATGTTTTTCAGCTACCCATAATGCTTTTTAGAAACCCACTTTTTAATGATCTGATGAATTCAAGTGAAAAAAATGTACATGTATGTTACTTAGAATATATAATGACATTATATGTCATTTCTTACCTTCTATAGGAAATCATCTACATGTTGAGAATCTTCAAGTGTATATTAAAAATAAATAAATAAATGTTCCTTATAATTGTAGTAGAGACTGTAGCAAAGAGAAAGGAACATTGAAAAAATAACCAAAAACATTCTTCAGAAATTTGTGTTAGATTGATAATTATGTTACCTGCAGGACTCAGAGTTTTAAAGAATTATTTAAAAAGTAGTTGTCTATCTTTTCTGTCTTTCCCTTTCTGATGAACTATGAAAATGTTTCTCATTTCTTGAAAGCTATTACTTTACTTTTTTCTCCCAACTGAGTATTTTCAAGTATCTAATCAATTCACTGCTGCATTGTGATTTGACAAATGACATTAAAATCTACTTTCACTGAAAAGTTTCTCTGGCAAATAAATTAGATTAACAAATTTACTTCCTACTTTTTATTCAAAATTAGACTACAACAATCAATTTAATTAAGTAGAACACAATATATTGATGTATGCTCTATGCCAGTGGGAAATGGGCTTACCTAAAAATAAGTGGACTAAACTTCAGTAAAGCAATCTGAAATATTTTTCTTCTCTTATAACTGTTTTATTACATATTTCAATTTCCTCACAGCTTTATAAAGAACAGCAAATAAGGTAGCAATATACTATTTTAAAAGGGGTCTCTTTAACGTAAATTAAAACATAATTTCTGATCAGAAGATGATGACTCATCTCATTTATTAGTTCCATTTGTTGACTATCAATAAATCCACCATACTGGGAATCCACTAACTGGAATGAATTTTTTGTTCTGTTCAAAAACACATTACCTTTTATTCATTGTTCCTATATAGAACTCTATGGAGCAAATGAACATGTGGTTCTTACTTTCTGAGTTCTTCACATGGCTAACTTTTCATGAAGGACAGTCATTTCTAACTACATTTGCCATTAAAATTTTATGCTCAAAATTTTAATTAACCCATTTGTAGCTTTAAATTTCTTACAGTGAAATTTTTTAAAAGGACTTAATGGAATCTTTTGAAAAAAACAGACATTAGAAGCTGTTTGAATGGCATAATTCTTCATGCTAATGGTTTAAAAGACTTGAAATTGTCCAACTTAGAAAAAGTTATTAAGCATGAGATGATGAAAACAGGAGTTTTTCATCTATTTTACAATACCTTTGTGTTTGCATTTAAAACATGTTAATACATAGAAATATTGTCAGACATTATCACATTGCTAATATTTATTATGTACATATGAATTACTCCTAAACAAACATAGGAAACACTGAAGGCATGTTTCCTAAATTAGTCACTCCGTGTGTGTGTGTGTGTGTGTGTATAAAAGTGCTTTGGTTGAAATAGTTATTCAATATATACAATATATTCAATATATGTGAATACATATATGTTTTACTCTCTGGTTTAAACAGTATTTTTCATTCAATGTCATATCACTGTATTTTTAAGCACCACACAATTAATATTGTATAGATAAATCTCCATTTCTTCCCTATGCTGTAAATAAGGCAATGTATATAAATGTGCTCTCATTAACCTTTTTTATTATAAAGATATTTGACCATAGGAAAATGAAAATCAAAACAACACTGAGATTCTCCCTCACCACAGTCAGAGTGGCCATTGTCAAGGAAACAATAACAAATGTTGGAGAGGATGCAGCCGAAGAGAACTCTTAACACTGTTTGTGGGAATGTCAACTTGGCAAACCATACTGGAAAACAGTATGGAGGTTCCTCAAAAAACTAAGCATAGAAACTTTGTTATGGCCTAGCAATACTAATTCTGGGCATTTATCCAATAGATCACAAACAAACTTACACAGTAAAACCGTCAGCACAACCATGTTCACTACAGCACTATTTGACATAGCCAAGATATGAAATCAGCCCAGCTGCCCCTTAATGGACAAATAGATTAAGAAAATGTACTATATATATACAATGGAATTTTACTTATCTATTTGAATGATAATTCAAATTCCCTTACCATTTGTAAGGGAATGGAGAGACGAAAGTATATTAAGTGAAGTAAACTAAGGTTATATGGTTCTCTCACTGATCAAGATGAATTTCATTCATAAACTGTTTCATTAAAATGTCAGCTCCTTATTTAACCTTTTAAAGATAATTTTAAGAAAGACTTGAAAATACTTTTATGATAGCACTGGTGATGGAGAGAATTAAAGTTAAACTACATTCTTGTGATGATTAAATAAATTTGTGCAAATATAGCAAGAACATCACCTAAAACTAAACATAGCAAGGAAACACCAAGACATTTGGGGATTTGCTGTTAGATTTTAGGACAAGCCTAGCCCCTCGCAGGCATATGGAACATCTCTGTTTCTGACATTGTGAAGAAGGCAAACATGAGAATTTTATAATAAGCTTTTTTAGCATTGGATTTCTAGATATCTATTATTTCTTTCTCTCAGATTCCAATAAATTCTATATTAGTCTCAAGGACACGTGTTCTAACTAACAAAAAAAAAAGCTGACAACAACATTATAGAAAAGAGAGTGAGTAAAGATACATACTCACCAGACAAATGGAGACATTATACTTTATTTTCACCTTCCAAGATGCTTTTTAAAATATTTTAATTGACAGTTCGATAACATCATCATCACCATAAGACTGTATATAGACAATGAACTTATTGGAAGTATACAATACAGTACTCTCAACTCAAGCTCAAATATCATTTTGAAAGTCTCATGCCGCTCAAAACTGCAACCAGTCTATTCAATTATTCACACTTAAACATTAAGCCTACTGTAATCTGCATGGCAACAAGTTAGCAAAGGGAGAAAAATAGTATTCAGAATAAGTGCTACTGCCTTTTTATGCTTGAAATACCTACCATCTTTCAGCAATAGAGTGTATATAATATGCATATGTGTGTATAATGTTCTCCGATTTTGCATCCAGATGAAAAGCTTTAAACACAGTATTTCCAAAAGCAAGCTAAAGAAGAAAACAAAACAAATTCATTATTAGAAGTATATTCTATGGAAACTTACATTTGAATAATATATATATATATATATATTCTTGAATAAGGAAAAGAGAGTTTTGTTGAAAAATGTTCAAAATGGTTACTGTTAGCTTTCTATTGATCCTTAATTAACTTAAGGGGATGGAGTTAGGAGAGATGAAGGAGAGTGAAGGAAGGGAAGACAATAATCAAGATGCAATCGTATGTTGAAGTGAAACTCCTTTCTACTACTACTTGAAAATAAGTTGAAAATTAATTAATTAAAATTTAACAAATTTGAAATTCATCTTCTGTACCATATTAGCCACATACCAAGTGCACAAAAATGCCTTCTAACCAGTGCTGACAGAAGAAATTAGAAAATGATCAGGTCATAGAAAGGTTTTATTGTACAGCACCATTATACATTATTATTCATATAATATATCCCAGAAAATACAGCAGGTTGACCTGTCAGAACCATCCTTCTATTTTACTTGTGGGGTAGCAGAAAATCTAAAGAGGAAGTCACATAAGTAAAGACAATGAGAAGTGTGTTCTATGTATTGAGGAAAAGGAAAGAAACAGAGGTTAAAGATCATCTTGCAGACCAGCACTTGATAGTTAACTACACTAATCATCAAACAACATGGGGTCCTCATAATCTGGTCATAAAATAATGCTTCAGACAAATCAAACCAAATTTAACAGCATTTCAGTCTTTCTGATACATAAGTAAATCATTCCCACCATTCCAGGGGCTCTTCACAGTTAATCCATCTAATTTACAACAGGTTCATCTAATTACTTATAAATTTCTCCAACTATTTGATATCTAAATAGTTTATGAAAACTAAAATCTTTTGAGTTAGATATAGCAATATCTGTTCATAATCCCAGCCCTTAGTAGCCTAAGGAGAGGTTAAAGGCCAAGCCTGAGGTAGATAGCAATACTTTAGCACAAAAAGAAAAAAATCATAGTGAAAATAAATGATAAACAAATAAGCCAGGTGCAGATAGCTCATGCCATGAGGCTCTTTTTTTTTGGGGGGGGGGTCCGATCGTGGGGCCTGAACTCTGGGCCTGAGCACTGTTCCTCAGCTCTTCAGCTCAAGGCTAGCGCTCTACCACTTGAGCCACAGTCCACTTTCAGCTTTTTTTCTTTTTGCTTATGTGGTGCTGAGGAATCGAACCCAGGGCCTCAGGCATGCAAGGCAAGCACTCTACCACTGAGCCACCTTCCCAGCCCCACCTTGAGACTCTTATCTCTGTTAAAATACAAAGAAAAAATTGGGAGGGGCTAGGAAGGTGGCTCAGTGGTAGAGTGCTTGCCTTGCATGCCTGAGGCCCTGGGTTCGATTCCTTAGCACCACATAAGCAAAAAGAAAAAAGCCGGAAGAGGCGCAGTGGCTCAAGTGGTAGAGTGCTATCCTTGAGCTGAAGAGCTGAGGGACAGCACTCAGGCCCAGAGTTCAGGCCCCACGACCGGACCCAAAAAAAAAAAAATTGGGAGTAGAGTTGTGGCTCACAAATAAGTTCACCAAATTTGAGCAAGAGAAGCCCTGAGTTTAAGGCTAGAATTAAATAAATTTTCAAAATAAAAATAAATGAATAAATAAATACCCAAGTCTATTAGCTTTCCCTCTCCAAATAAAGTCTCTCTTTAAACTGTAACCTCACTGTCTATCAGCACATATGCAGATTGTTAGGATCACATTCAGAATCGACTTCTCGTTTCTACAGGAACCACAGCTTTCCTTACCCAAAACCACACTCATGTGCAGTGAAAGCAGAAGTCTATTTTCAGACAAGGAGCAAAAGTGCTTGGTCCACTAATCCAATCTTCTTTTTTCTAGTGCACTGTGGAACTACTCCATCACCGAGTATGCTGTTATTCAGCTATCTTTGAATATCTTTGTCTGGCAGAAATCTATAAGCCCCCACATCACCAGGATGCACACCACATGAGCAGTTTAATGGAATGTGCAATTGAACATACTTCAGAGTTTTCTGGACCTGGTTGGAAGGAACTACTCCAAGTGGTCTTGCCAACAGTTAGCTCTCATAGTTTGCATATTGTTTATCATTTACATGAACAAAACGGCAGCTAGTATCTTGGTGCCCCTTGATGTCTGTCTAATTGCCTCCCATAAAGCCTGATTTTAGCCCAATGCTGGGTATGGATGGCTATGTTCATAGTATTGAATGTGATTTATTGATTATACTCTAAATGATTAAAGAAAATTATGAGCTGGGTGCTAGTGGCTTATTCTTGTAATCCTAGCTACTCAGAAGGTTGAGATCTGTGGTTCAAAACTAGTCCCAGGAAGAAAGTCCACAAACCCCTTATCTCCAATTAACCACCAAAAAATAAAGGCAGAAGTAGAGCTGTGGCTCAAACAGAGCTCCAGCCATGAGCCAAAAAGCTAAGGAACAGTGCCAAGATATTGAGTTTGATCCCTAGTGCAAGGACACACACACACACACACACACACACACACACACACACACAGAAAGACAGACAGACAGACAGAGAATTATAGTATCTCACAGTAAGTATAAATTCTTAATGCCTTCAGCTGGGTTTCTGAATCCATTTTGTTTTCAAACATGATTGTTTATGGTGATCAAGTTCTATTTTGGCCACTATCAGTAACTTCACAGTAATGTGAGTTGTTTTCATGACCAGAGCCAACCATCTACTCTACATATCCATCGTCATAGATACTTACTTGGTTCCTCCAAACTGGTGTCCTCACTTGATTTTGTATGTTGTTTTCCTCATTGCCTCCTTTCTTAGTTGCTCCTATTTGGCCCTTTTTTGCTGATTCTCCATCATCTTCCTAATGTCTAACCCTAGAGTGATTTGAATCTCAGTCCTTGAATATATTACCTCTCTATCTCTATCTGGAGTCATTCCTCAGACTATCTGCTCACAGTGTCAACTATGAAGATGCTGACATATGTCAAATTTATACTTCCAATCTGTATTGCTTCTCCAGACTCCCAGTTGTACGCCCAAAGGTGTTCTCAAGTCACAAGGGGATTGTGTTGTGCAGGCTGTAAGAAGCCCATAAGGTCTGCAGTAAAGATAGGAATCTCAAACTAACCATCATTACCTTTCCTAGGTGCCCTCAACCACACTTAATTTGAGATTATGTACTTAGCAGTAAGAAGATAAGCTTACATCCTCTAAGCCTCTCCTATCACGCCAGGGGGAAAGCAGACCACGTGTTCCACATAATTTATGCAAGAAGGGCAAGAAAACTAATCAGTATACCCCAGCTTCGTATAAATTCAAAATAAAACACAGGAAGCTACACCACAGAGATTTTGAGGTTGTTTTTGACAATGTCATCAGCCAAGCATATCCCAATATGCAAATTGATGAATCAAAGTGAGCTGCTACTCCGAGAAGTGTAAGCAGCTCATTAGTGGGATAATAAATTGTTCCTACAAGTTGGGAAAATATGAAACCATTTTACAAGATGGTAACAAATGTGGCAGAATTGGCACCTAAAACACTTATGTACTTTGGACCAGCTATCTCTTAAATTTCTAGAAGGTTGGAAAATGAAAAATTGGAAATAAGTTAAAGTTGCACTGAGTTAGATTTTAAAAAGAATAACAAGAGTTTGCTGAGCTCAGGAAGGAAAGGGTGATTTCATATTAAAAATAATAATAATAGAGTTCAAAAAGACTGAAAGAGCTAATTGCTTCTAAATACTTAACACCATGAAATCAGATTATTAGATGTGTTAGGAAACAGAGGTTTAGTGAATATCAATTGGAATGAATAATTCCAGAAAAAATTCAGACTAGGCATTTTTTCCAAGAAACTGATATTATTGGAGTGAAAAACAAATAATTAGAATGTTTTGAGTGCCAGTCATGGTAGTGCACACCTATAATTCCAGCACACAGGAGGCTGAGACAGTAGAATCAAATGTTTGATCCAGCTTGGGTTATATAGTTAACACATTGTCTTAAATAAATCAAAAATGTGTTACTAAAAACATTTATGTGAAGAAAACAATTGGTAATCTTTCCAATTTTCGTTTTGTTTTGTTTTTATGCCAGTCCTGGGATTTGAGTTGAGGGCTTGGGTGCTGTCCCTGAACTATTGTGTTCAAGGATAGTGCTCTAGACCACTTGAGCTATAGCTCCATTTCTGGCTTTTTGTGGTTAATTGGAGATAAGCCTCAAGGATGCGCCTTCCCTGGCTGGCTTCAAACCACAGTCCTCATTTCTCAACCTCCAAAGTCACTAGGATTACAGGTATGAGCCACAGGTGCCTGGGAGCTTTTCCAAATTTTTGAAAAGTGCCATTGCCAAGAGAATGTTGCGTCTTAGAGTAAAAAAAGTATTGGGAACTTTGAGACAAAATAAACTTGCACTAGCAACTTTGTAAGTATTTTGAGAGACCTGAGAAAAGTGTGCAATTCATGAAGAAAATGGTTCCTCCAAGTTGGAGAGGTCTCCAGTGAAAGAGAAGCAGAAATCACAGGCAGGGTGGACACTAGGGGAAACAATACAATGGACAAACTAATTATTCTTAGAAATTAGTAGGCCCTAACCAACAAACGTTTCTCAACTGGATGCAATGGCATATAGCTGTAATCACAGTTATACAAGAGACAGATATCCAGACCAGCCTGGGCAAAAGTATTAGGGAGAGACCTTCCCAACCAACAATGTAAAGAAGACTAGTCAGCATTTTCTGAAAAGCCTTTTCTTTAAGAAAGGCATTAGTATTGTCTAATGTGTTCTGTTTTGTTTGTTTGCTGTCTTTTTGTTTATTATTTTAGAGGAGCTCAAAGGATTGGCCCTGTTAGATGAATGCTCCTTAGTGTGTTTTCGTTGTTGTTTTGTTTTTGTTTTGTTTTTTACCAATCTGGCTTGTCAATCTGTTGATGGAAACCTCTGGAAAATAGCCTCCCCTAGAAATGGCATATGCCACTTTTGGACTGAGGTAGTTGAATGCTGTCTTTTTGCTTTACTCGTGATTTAACCTAGGGCCTCATCCCTGGTAGGTAAACACTCTACTATTTAAGCTACACCTCCTAGTCCACTGTTTCATTATCTTGGTTGTTGTTTTGTTGTTGGTGTTGTTGTTTTTTGCCAGTTCTGGGGCTTGAACTTGGGGCCTTAACATTGTCTTGAGCTTCTTTTGATCAAAGCTAGCACTCTACCACTTGAAGAATCGAACCCAGGGCTTCATGCACGCTGGGCAAGCATTCTACCATTAAGCCACATTCCCAGCCCTCTAGTTTAGTTTTGAGGTAGAGTCTTGCTAACTTTTTGTTGGCTGGCCTTCACACAGGATCTTCCTGCTTCTACCTCATAAAGGCTCAAACTTTTAGCTTTATCTCTTCCATCTCAGAAATGATCACAAAAATAATCTTTCCGATTAATTTCAAAATTTGAAATGAAAGCTTACCTCGTTTGTTTGGATGGGATGAGGCTAGCCCATCCATAGCATAGGACATCTCAGCATCCTTGGCCTCCATAAAATGGTCTCGTTTTTCTAACTGATATGAAAAAAAATTAAATGGAAATTAGTCTTCCATAACTTCAGTTCTATTCTCTATTGGTGAAAAGGAAGATAAAAGAAGAAACACAGAGGAAAGATGGAAGACAGAGTGGACAAGGGTAAAAAAAAAAAAAGAATAAGAGAAAATAAACAAAAATAAATAATAACAGAAAAATACATTTCCAGGCTAGCTGGAAAATTACATGACTCAATCAGAAATTCTTTTTTTTGGGGGGGGAGGGGTCCGGTCGTGGGGCCTGAACTCTGGGCCTGGGCGCTGTCCCTCAGCTCTTCAGCTCAAGGCTAGCACTCTACCACTTGAGCCACAGCGCCACTTTTGGTTTTTTCTTTTTGCTTATGTGGTGCTGAGGAATTGAACCCAGGACCTCATGTATGCAAGGCAAGCGCTCTACCACTGAGCCACCTTCCCAGCCCCAATCAAAAATTCTAAAAAAGAAACAAGATTTTGACAAAAGTACTCCACGTTTGGGTGTAAATTCATAAAGAGCCAGTAAATGTGGGCTGTGTATGACAAGGTTTTATTTCTTGTACAAGGAAGAGTAGTTCTTTCCAAGGAACTTGACAATGTCTCATTACCCCCTGAAGAGCCAATTCTACCAAGGGAGTGCTCTACCTGAAATACTCCATATCTTCCTATTCTTGTTGCTCAAAGACAATAATAGACATACTTTCTTTTCCCAAATGATAGAATAGATTAACATCCAACTTATTTGAAGGAGGCTAGCAGTCATGTAATTCAACATTTGTAAATATACTTTAGAGAATATGAAAGAATGAACAACACAGAGAACAACACATTCCGGCTTCCTGTCAAGAAGATAGCTTTGCAATTTCTCCAAACCATCTGCTTGAAGCAGAGTAATTCCACTGTCACATACTTCATTTGCTGAGACCACACAGTGTGTGGATGGGGGAAAGATTTCCACTATTTAAAGGTAACAATCTCAAAAAAGCACGATAAGATGTTCAAATACCTTTAGTTGGCCCAAGGTCCCCTTGCTGGGTGATTAATATGATCAGCCATAGCTTTGTTCTGTTTTTATTTTTCAAGTGCAATTTAATTTTTTTGTAGCAAATTACTCTTTCTTTAGCAGGACTGGAAGTTTCACTTGGAGTATTAGTGACTCTTTTAATCATTGTATCAAAAAGAAATTGCCTTGTAAGAGTAAAATTGAGCATTTAAGTGGTTCTCATTCTTACCTGATTTAGTTCTTCCAGTTTGTGAGCCAGTCCAACATCTGCAAGAAATATTTGTCAAGTGAACAATGTACATTGAAAATAATATTCACTTCAGATAAAATATTTACGATTTTATGTGGCAAAGGTTTTTTTCAGGTGATTTGAGATGACCTGCCCATTCCTATGTAAATCCTCCAATATATTTTATATTGTTCATAATATTGAAACACAATATGTTAGATCATGAGAAAATACCTATTTCCAACAATAAGCAGTGTTCTAAGGTAAGTCATAGCACCAAGACATCCTGTTATTTGGAAAGAAGCAACTACATTTTTACTGACATAGTGAAATCCCAAGAAGCAATATTAAATGTTATAAAAGGATATAAATTGTTCATATAGTTCAATGAAGATAGAAAATTTCCCAAAATATTAGTAGCACTTCTCTAAATTTTATAATGTGTCTATGAATTTTTGTTCTTGTTAGAAATGGGGCTTGAACTTGGAGCTTGGGCACTATCCCTAAGCTCTTTTTACTCAAGGCTAGCACTCTACCATTTTGAGCCACAGCTCTACTTCTGGTTTTTGAGTGGTTGATTAGAGATAAGAGTCTCACAGGGACTATTCTGCTCAGGCTGGCTTTGAACTGCAATCCTCAGATCTCAGCCTCCCAAGTAGCTAGGATTACAGGCATAAGCTATCTGCACCTGGCTGAATTTTTCTTTCTATAATTTCACTTCTCTCAAATGTCTTATTTCTAATTTTAAAAATTATTTTTAAGTATTAAGATTTGGAGATGGAAGTTGTCTTTATTTTGAGTTGGTTCTTTTGTTTTCCTGTCTCTGAAATGGGGTCTCACTAACTTTACCCAGTCTGGCCTCAAACTTGCCATTCTCCTGCCTCCATCATTTGAATAGCTGGGATTGTACGTATGTGCCAAGACACTCCTCCACTAAATGTTTTAAGAATATTGTATTGATAAATTTCTGCTAGAAATTTCACCAATTCTGATAGTGAAGCTAACCAATTTTCAATTGAATTTTTTGGGTTTGTAGAATACTTCAGAAAACATGTGAAGCATTTTTAAAGCTTTGCCTTTATAGGACAAAATATCTGTTAAAAGACAATATTAGGGGGCTGGGAAGGTGGCTCAGTGGTAGAGCGCTTGCCTTGCATGCCTGAGGCCCTGGGTTTGATTCCTCAGCACCACATAAGCAAAAAGAAAAAAGCCGGAAGTGGCGCTGTGGCCAAGTGGTAGAGCGCTAGCCTTGAGCTGAAGAGCTGAGGGACAGTGCCCAGGCCCAGAGTTCAGGCCCCACGACCGGACCCAAAAAAAAAAAAGACAATATTAGGATTGGAATGTAGTTCAGTATGCTAGAGTTTGTCTAACATCTGCAAGGTCCTGGGTTCAATTAGTACATAAATAAATAAATAAATAAATAACATTTAGTGTTGCATATAATAAGCTACTGAGACCCTCTTTTAAAAACAAAACAATTTACTAAAAAAAAAGTACTAACTATTCCATGGACTGTAGGGTCTCATCTCTTCCATAAAAGGAAAACATAAGTAAGAATAACTATTTTTCAGCTTCATAGTTACCAATCCATTAGGATTCTCAAATTGAATGACATAGGCTTTTAATGCTTTTTAATAACTATGAGACTTTTGCACGAATATATACCAAGGAAAACATTTAAGCTCTTAGTGTGTCACCCGAAAGAATAGTTATTGGTTTATTTAATGTAAATTGAAGTTATAAAGAGCACATCTACGACAGGTACTCAAAAGCTGCTTTTATTCAGAAACACTGGCTTTCAACTTGGGTCCACAAGTAAATTGAAAGTAAATGAAAAGCATGGCATCCCAACTCAGTCTTATATCTGTTTCCTTCACTCTGACTCTTGGAATCAGAAAGAACAAGACTGATGATGGATAACATTCTGTAAGAAAAGACAAAGTACCTCCTAACCCCAACTAGACAGCCATGAGTCCCAGTGTAACAATGCCTTGTCTGACTAATAACGAAACTATGAGCCATCAGAGTACCTGTCACTGGCATCTCTGACCACTGAAACTGTTTAATGAGCATGTATGCCTTCTTACTCTCACTTCCAATTCTTCCACTCCTATTTAAACTGAAAGCAAATGTCTGTATAAGGGACGTAATTGGAAATTGTCCTCTTCTCTTCCCATAGTGTGCTCATGCCACATTAAGTTTCCTTTCTCTGACCTTCACCATTAGTTTTTTCTTTATTTCACATACTAGATTGAATGACCAGACCTGGTATATGGAATCCAGGAATTGGGGCCTTGCACTTCAAATCCAGTTACTAGTGCCTAAAACTCCAGTACCAGATCTGGAGATGGAATGGCTCCATTATTTTTAATAGATAAAGCTTGACTTTGTTCTTCACTCACCAATGTTGGCAGGATTCTGGAAATCAAAATTTTTCTTCAGTAGAGCCAGCAATACTTCTTCAAGATTTGAATCTTCTTTATCTGGAAATAATTTACTTCCTGTAGTAATCAAATACCACCATTTTCAAGCTGTGTCACTGAAAGTGACACAGTGTTTTACAAACAACTATCAATACAGGTTATTCACCAATTAAAGAGATGTAGAGATACACCATTATAAAAATCAATGAACAACTAGTGGCTAGCGACTCAGGAAACAGAAGAAAGATCAAGATTGGATGCCATCTAGGGAAGAAAACTTTTCAAGACCCATCGAAAACCAAGGCTATAGACATGGCTTAACTGGAAAAGGCTTAACAGGTGTGAGGCTCTGAGGTCAAGCTACAGTACTGAGAAGAATTAAAAAAATAATCAGTGAATGTATATCAATGTGGAAAGAGATCATGAAAGACAAACAACAGGAACTGGAGGAGTGGCTCAAGTAACAGCACCAAACTTGAATGATAATGCCAAGTGAGAACTCAAAGTCCTAAGTTCAAGTTACAGTTCTACCACAAGAAAGGAAAGCAAGCAAGCAAGCAAGCAAGCAAGAAAGCAAGAAAGCAAGCAAGCAAGAAAGCAAGAAAGCAAGCGAGCAAGCAAGCAAGCAAGCAAGCGAGAAAGAAAGAAACAAAGAAAGAAAGAAAGAAAAAAAGAGAGAAAGAGAGAGAGAAAGAGAGAAAGAACAAAAGAGAAAGAAAGGAGAGAGAAAGAAAGAAAAAAAGAAAGAAAAAGCAAGCAAGGAAGCAAGAAAGAAAGAAAGAAAGAAAGAGAGAAAGAACAAAAGAGAGAAAGAAAGAGAGAGAAAGAAAGAAGAAAGAGAAAGAAAGAAAAAAAGAGAAAGAGAAAGAAGGAAAGAAAAAGCAAGCAAGCAAGCAAACAAGAAAGAAAGAAAGAAGGAAAAGTAAGGAAGGAAAAGTAAGGTAGCAGGAAGGAAGGAAAGAAAGAGAGAGGGGAAAGAAGGAAGGAAGGAAGGAAGGAAGGAAGGAAGGAAGGAAGGAAGGAAGGAAAGAAAGAAGGAAGGAAGGAAGGAAGGAGAAAGGAGGGAGGG